GTCGATCATTCCCTCGTGGGCTGCGGCGATCACAATCACGTTCATTCCTTTGGTTACGTGATCTCACGTCATCCTTACGAACAATACGAGACCCTCTAAGAACGAGACCATGTTGCTTCAGCGACCCAAGAATGACACGGAAGTTATTAGCCATCGTACGTTCTGCGTGTGTTTGATCATGACTAATATAAACGTCTTTAAATTGTCCAGATGATAATAAAGATGTCTTATTTGCCATAACCTTGCGTTTGTCCTCATGTGAACTGAACGTTGCAATAATTAAACCTGGTTTATTTACATTAGAAGATTTCTTTCGTTCAGCCTTCACACAAGAAACATCAGCAATTTTAAGCCCTGTACGTATCAGAGAGTTAACTTTGGACTTTGTGTTTTCATTAGGGGATTCCGAAAGGTCTTTGATCACAACATTCAAAGACAAATCAGGTTGTACTAAAACTGAATGCCCGCCACTGGAAATATTCTGAATCTTACAGTTCATTTCGGACAATTCATCAGCAAGATCCGCCTTAAGATCTTCTCTCAAAGATACAATGTCAGCTTCCACTTTTCTGCTAATTTTAGTCATCTCAGAATTCACACGTTTATCCAGAAGCTGAGCAACTTTGTTGGAGATACGCTGCTCCAGTCCTGATTCAAGTTTGTCCATTCGCTCATTCATTGCACAAAACTGCATGTTTATATCCGCGGACAATTGTGCAAATAACTGCATTAAAGATGGTTCCTCCTCGGGACAATAGCTGGAATTGGCATTTGATGACGTCATGACTGTTGACGGTATTAAAGAACGTTTCGCTTTGGTCGTAACCCGTGCTTTCTTATGGTCAGTATCGACAATACTAGGTTCAGAAGCGTTACGTTTACGCCCCTTGGTGACTGGTGTTGATACACGTGTCACGATTTGCGACGACATAATAGAGTCAACGTAATCGGCCGCTTCCCCAATATCTGTATTTGTTATACCAGGACAAGCCATAACACCGATAATGAGCGCACAAATCAAGCGTGACGAAATCACTGGCGCAGTCAATCTATACCCCCGCTATTCAATACAGGTATTAATATATAGTCAATCAGGCTTGTAATAGCCGAGAACTAGCGGATTAACGAAAATCAATCAAGTATAACAATGGCGACAGTTTATCGAAGAAATTTCACAAATAAAATATACACTCACAATTTTTTACATCCAAAATCCTTCAAATTTACTCTACTATAGAACAAACTAAACACACTATAGCACAGATAATAATCCAAATTTTGTCTAGAACAGTCATTCAAGTCCGACAATCTTGTAATATCCACAATAAATCAGTTTAAATCAGAGCACAGAAATAACGACTATCAACTTCGAAAGTCAACCAACTTGTATGTAGAAAGAGTATATGTAAAGAAAATATAATATACGTGATATAATTCATGTCATATGAAATAATTAACAATAACCATAATATTAAAATGCTTTTAAATATATTCTCCTTGTTCGCAAGAATTTAATGATCGGGAACAAGATAAAGATCAATTTTTATATATATAACAATTTCTTCATTGTTTATTCTTATTGATTCTAGTATTCAATATAACGTTTTAAGTGATGTTGAAATGGCCAATGTCAAAGAAATTTAACAAGGAAGATCATAAATACTTTACAAGATTTGCATGTTTTAATGTTGATCCAAATATTGATCTGGATTCTTGAATTTAAACTTAGCACGCCTTGCAAATCCGTAAATCATCTTAATTCTGGAAGCAAGTGCTTGTGATGTCATCAATTGTAGATTATTGTCGACGTTTCTGGACGGTGACAGATAACAAGATATAACAATTTCTACCCGTACACCGCCTGTCCTTAGCCAATCAGAATAGAAAATTTAACATCACATGAAAATGAAGGACGACAAACTACCTAAAAAGGGCCGCCTACGGGAACGTCATCCTTCATTCTTTTTATTATTTATTTTATCTATTTATTTTTTTAATTATTTATTTTTATTATTTTATTATTATTTCTTTTTTTAGGTGAGGCGGGTACCTTTTAATATAAAATTGAAGTACCGTTTTAATCTATGAAAGCCTCGGTGTGTAAGCTGCTGTAGCAATATTCGGAATATCTCTCTTAAAAGAAGGAACATTAGATGTATTGTTCAGTAAATAGTAGTCTTTTTCGCAAAGAAAAGATTTTTCGAATAACCGATTCGCCGATTCCTTCTATTCTTTTTGGAAATGCTTATGCTTGTTATATTTTCTTCAATTTATTTTGCTCGGAAATGAAATTGATGGTTCGGAATTCTTATCTGTAGGACCATAATTCACCTATCTAGTCCCTTATTTTATTCTGATATTCCAGTCCAGGAAAATTAATGTGATCAAAATTTTTATTGTCGTTTAGCAGCCATGGAATAATGTCTGTACTTTAGTGACGTCAATAGTTTATTTACACAAGTACACCAGGTGCATAATTCTTCAATCATTCGCATATCAAAAATGCTCAAGTAATCTGAAACTTTGAACTTCTATTGATAATTTTTTATAGGTACTCTTTTTTTGAGCAGCATCTACATGAAAGTAGCTAAGTATTTTATTTAGCGCACAGATCTCCTTTGTGGCTAGATACTACAAATGGTATTTTCAGGTGTTAAAAATAAAAATTAAAGGCCCTCATATAAGCTTTTGCCAAAATAAAAACGAGAAAAACCCGTTTTGGACCCAAATTATAGAAAAGAATTTGGGGAAAAATTACAATTAATATTTTGAAAAATATACATTGTATTTCCCAAAACTATCAAATTTTAACCGGGTATTTTAAATTTTAAATTTATGGAAAGAAAATATTGTTAACATCGTTCTAAAATTTATTTCATAATTGTCCATTTTATTTAAATTTTAAACTTAAGCAGATTAATACCTAGTTTTTACCATTTCAGCCCTGATTAAAATTTGTTTTACTTTTTTTGTTAAAATTAAATTTTTTTTTTAAAATAGAGCGAAATGCATTAGGGAACCCGGTTAGATTTCCAATGTTTAAAACCCCAATTTCTTTAAATATTTGGATAAAATTGAATTTTTTTTTTTCCCCCGGGGAAACTCCATCACAGTTTTTAAATCAATATTAAAATCAAAAATAAAAGGAAACAAATATACTCGGGTTTAAACTTTAAATTTTTTTAAAGGGTTGAATCCCCAGGATTCCCAATTATTAATATCAAACTGTTGAATAACAGTTAAATAAATTCCACTGGGATCGGTATCAAAGAGGGATGAATAAGTTATTTTTTTAGTTTTATTTTAGTATAATGTTGCAGAACATTATTACAAGCTTAAGATACAATTAAAAATCATTATAATTTCCCAGTATTTGTAGAATATTTCAGGCTGATATTAGAAACTAAAAACATAAACACATAAACATCCAATTTGGTTTGTTGAAAGATTTCGTACAATAAAATCTTGCAAATGAATAAACCGTGGTTCATTTTACTTTTAAGGCACATTACGCATGACCAGTAGATGACCGCTATTGATTTTAAGGTCATTATGTCAAAGGTCAATGTGTAATTTCCTTGTCCGATCAATAACATCCAAAGTAATAAGTCTAAGTGTTAAACTTAGTAGATACATTGCCAGTAATCAGTAAAAGACCCCTCAAGAACTTAAGTAGAAATAACCTGTAGTTTATATTACATGGTGGGATATTTGCGCATGGGCGGTAGATGACATCAACTGAATTTTAGGTAATAAGGTCAAATGTCACTGTCACAATGACACTTTCAGAAATTCCTAGTCCGATCAATAATTTGAAAAAAAGCCTTATTTTGTTAAACTTGGTAGAAATATAGTCAGTAGCAAGTTGATGACCCCTTTTGATTTTGAGGTCATTAGGTCAAGGTCAGTGTGACACTTCGTTGAAATCTTCATCTAACCATTAACTGGAGTTTCTTTGGTCATAGGGTTCGGGAACTTAAAAGTAATGATATGCTTGTTTTTACAAATTATTATAACACTTTAAATTACATTTATGAAATAAATAATCTTAAGTTTGTATGTACATACATGAATATATGCAACGTTGAAATTGAAATTAATGGGATGCACAAGTGGTTGATGGTCACATGTCAGTGTAACAAACATTATCGAAAATGAAAATCTTACCCTAGGAATTATAAATGAAAACAAATTTGAACAAAATCAGAAGATTTTAGATTGTTCTTTGATTTCATAAAAATATTTTAACAAATTGAAATTAAAAAAGAGAATCACTCAAAAATTATTTAAACGAACCTTTAATAATAGTAGTGTTTTTAAATAACCTATTGCAGAAAGTTAATCAATCGCCTTATTTTTCATTTTTTAAAAATATTTGCAATGATAGATAATTATTCATTGAATGTGTTGTTTTTGAGATGGTGTTAAAATAGAAAGAAACGGTCAGCATACTGACGATTTTGGTATGCCATTAGCTTGCATTGAGTATATAATTCTCTTGTGAGATAAAAATACACTGTTCGTATTCTCAGATGATAAAGAATATACAAATGTTCATATAAATGTTTTGAATCCACTGAGGCCCGAATGGCACAATACATTAAATTCATACAAAACTCCACTCTGACGGTCTGTAAAAGAATGACAAAGGAAAATGCTGATTATTAAATTGAAACAGATTTTAGTGCGATTTTGAGCTAAGTTTAAAGGGGTTTAAACGCTTTTCAATTTTAGGACATTTTACACAAAGGAAGTGATTATTCTGGAAAAACGGAGCGCGTGAATGATATAAAATATTGAAACAAGCGTATAGACCTACATCAAATGGTAAAAATTATCTCGGAAAAACATTCAGATCCCATTACATGTATGTCAATATACTTTAGTGGATTACCTATGATATATAACACACTCAAGAAAAGTGGATTACCTATGATAAATAACCCACTCAAGAAAATACATATTTATTTTCAGTTTGGAATATAAGTTTCTAAACTAACCTCGGTGTCATAATATTCCTCCTCATTCTCGTCTAGAAAAACGTAGCCTTCAAACATGATTGACAGATTCTTTAGTTTGTAGTCATGTACATAAATATTGTTTTAATACACCCTAGTCAAAATTGTTCTTTCCATGTTGCGCTTCTATATCGCTTACGTCATACATATATATGGTAACTCAACGGAGTCAATAAAGGTTCTTATATAATAATTTGTCAGATTTCTATCGAGCATGCATAATGATTATTTACATTTCCTCTTCGTTAGCAATGTGATTTCTGTAGATCCATTCATTTTAGAATTTGTTTCAAATGCCGAGACAGAAAAATCAGTCCAGATTACGGGGATTGAAAACCCCAGGATATTAAACACTTGAAATCCATTTTGAAAACATGTCAGATGTGTATACGATATTGTTTATAACTGCATCTGCACAGATATTGACAACAACGAGATTTTATGGTGTCTGTGTGCTAAACAGACCAAACTCCTCAACAAAACTCCCATTGAAAATCAACTCCATACATATTTGAACAAGTATTCTGCTTCCGAGTGCTGTCAACTACTGACAATAATCCCCCATGTTTTCAACAACGATTTTATTGATAAAAGTTTTAGTTCATCTTTGTAAAGCCAACGTCAGTTGTAAATGAAATTTTAATTTTAATCTATTATCTCAAATGAACGTTTTCAAATGGTTTTGTTATAAAGCAATGTTTAGGACCATTGTTCTGTGCCATATTTTGATTAAATGATTTAGGTGGCATAAAATTTATACCCGTAACATACAATGAGTGCAGCTTCAAAGAAGATTAATTTCAATAGATAAGCATTATAATTGTACATTTGTAATTGTATTTGCGATCGTAATAAAATAAAACCCAATACGAATTATGGCACAAGGGAATAGGTTATAGTTTTAGATCTCTTGTATTTGCTGACTTTTTATATAAATATTTTTGCAATATGATATATACGGTGTTCCGTTTGGACAGTCGTGAATTTTAATTTAGTCTGTTACCGCGATGCACGATGGTACGATGGTGAAAACGCGATGGCACGATGGTACGATGGTGAAAACACGATGGAACGATGATGAAAACGCGATGGTACGATGGTGAAATCGCGATGGCGCGATAATACGATGGTGAAAACGCGATGTTACATCGCGTTTTCACCATCGTACCATCGTGATTTCACCATCGTGCCATCGCGTTTTCACCATCGCGCCATCGTGATCTCACCATCGTACCATCGCGCTTTCACCATCGTAACATCGCGCTTTCACCATCGTAACATCGGGCTTTCACCATCGTGCCATCGCGATTTCACCATCGTGCCATCGCGATTTCACCATCGTACCATCGCGTTTTCACCATCGTACCATCGCGCTTTCACCATCGTACCATCGCGCTTTCACCATCGTAACATCGCGCTTTCACCATCGTACCATCGCACTTTCACCATCGTACCATCGTGCTTTCACCATCGTACCATCGCGTTTTCACCATCGTACCATCGCGTTTTCACCATCGTGCCATCGCGATTTCACCATCGTACCATCGCGTTTTCACCATCGTGCCATCCGCGCCATCGTACCATCGCCTTTTCGGTCAGTAATATATAGAGTACACATACAAAAAGATGTCAGATTCTGTTACGGTAGATAATAAAAACAAGTTTAGAATACTTGATATTTAATATGAGTTATAAATAATAAAACATGTTATCTTTACATTAAATTACATTTATGTCGTGATACTACGGTGTTCCGTTTGGACACGTTTGGACAATCGTGACATTTTATTTATTCTGTACCCGCGATGCACGATGGTACGATGGTGAAAAACGCGATGGCAGCGATGGTACGAAATGGTGGAAAACACGAGGTACGGATGGTGAAATCACGTGGTACGATGGTGAAATCGCGAATGGGCGCGATAGTACGATGGTGAAACGCAATGTTACATCGCGTTTTTCACCAAAATCGATCGTGATTTTTCACCATCGAACCAATCGTTTTTCACCATCGAACATGCGGCACATGAGATCCATGCGCGGTTTTTCACCATCATGATACCCAAAAAATCGTGCCATCGGCGATTTCACCATCGTACGCAATCGAAATTTTCAACCCATCGAAAACCATCGGGCCGATTTCACCATCGCCCATCGCTTTTTTAAACCATCGAAACCATGGGCTTTTTAACCCAAACCCGGGAAAAAATCGCCTTTTCCGTGAAACCCCATTTCCGGGAAAAATTTTGGGTAAAAACTTTATAAACACTGGAGAATGCATAACTATGTATTAGGGAAGGAAAAATTTAACTACCCAAAAAAGGCCCCATTTTTTAAAAATTTAAAAAAATTTTGGGGGGGCCTTAAAAGGGGAATTTTGATCCAGCAAAATCGTCTTTAAAAGGGGTTTTGTGTTTTTAAAAAATTCCAAATTATTATAAAACCCCCTTAAAGGGCCACGGGGCTAACAACCTTTCTAAAATTATTAAAAACCCCCAAAATTTTTTAAGGGGTTTTGGGGATATCAATAAATTTTAAAAATGTTTCCAAAAATTAGATGGGGTTCCAAAAACCCAATTATTTGTAAAAGGGGGTTTTAACCTTTTAAATTTTTAACTTTTTCATGTAAATAAAGGGGGGAAATTTAAAAATTTTTAATTTTTTCTGAAAGGGGTTCAAATTTCAATTTTTAAATTTGGGAAAAATGAATTTTAATTTAATGTAAAAATTTCCATTTTTTCCCAATATGTTAATAATTTTGGCAGTACCCATATTTTCCCATTTTCTTCGATTTTGAAACTTGGGGGTTTTAAATAGGGGGAAAGGGCCCCAAAAAATTCCCCATTTAAGTTAAAATATAAAAAAATAATTTCCATGAAATGGGGTGGGCCCAGCCCGTTGACCCCGGTGAATTTCCGGGGCCGGCCGTTTTCGGGGTTGGGATTCCCCGGGGCGGACATTCACTTTTCCGTTTGGATTGATATAAAAACATTTCCTTAGGGGGTTCCATTTGCCCTTTTTGGGTCTCGCTCTGCAAATTTTTCAGTTCCTTGAAAAAGGGAAAGGGGCAACTTTTACGGGAAAACTGCTTTTGGGAAACACCCCTGCCCAAGGGAAAGGGGCGGTGGGGAACTGTGCCCCTTCTTTTGGAATTAATGGGTTTAACCCCCAATTTTGGAAAGGTTAAAAAAACCTCCCACCAAAAAAACCAAACACTTTGGGGGGTTAAAACCCCAAAATTACAAAAAACCAAAACTTTAAAAAACAAACAAAATTGCCCTTTTTGGGAAAAGGGGGCCCGCCCAAGGTTTTTTTTTTTCCAAAAATTAAATTCCGGGTTTTGGGAAGGGAAGAAGAAAATTTTCCCAAATACGTTAAAGATTAGAAAAAAATTATAAAAAAAAAAAAAAAAATAAAAGGAAAAAAAAAAACTAAACCCAGAAAAGATGCATCAAGGCTCTACATATGATAGAAAAATTTCTTTTTCCGGGAACAATTAAAAATTTTTAATGCCTTAAAGTGAGAAATTTCTCACTTTAAGGCATACACATTCTAATAGTTTAGATTATGATTGAAATCTCAGATTTGCCTCTGTAATCAATAAATAACATAACAGAAACAGAATCAAAGTAACAAATCCAAAGAAATAGAATTATCGCCGAAATTTACAATTTTTGCCCAGTAATCTATATTTCTCATTTAAGTATTTCTAATAGAGAATTATCTCTTGATGCATCATTTTCTGGCTCAGTATTTTCTTTAATTTTCCTTTAATTATCATTTTGTTTTATAATTTACTTTCTAATACCTGAACGTATTGTGATTTTTCATTCTTCCATATCCAAGCAAGAATAATTGAAAACAAAACCACATGACAGCTATACCAAAAGACAATTTTATACCGTTCTAAAGATTTTGTATGTTGTAATTGAGGTTGTACACCGTGGTGGTTGTGGTGATAGTTTTCACTTCCGATCATGACAGTAAGCCACATTGAATTCACAAGACAAGTTTCAAACATCGAGAATATGTAAAATATGTACTGCAAATATTTATACATATTATATGTAATCATTAAAATATATGCATTCATTTCTTATTGAAAAATTTGACTTAGACTTTACAGAAAATAAATTTTTATTACCTCCCTTTATTTACATGAAATGTTAAATTCGGTAACATCTTTACAAATAATGCTTTTTGGAACTTATCTTAATTTGAGCATCATATTTATGGTATAAAACCTTAAAAAAATTTGTGTTATAGATATCTAGACAAGATGAATTAAGCACAGTGCATAAAGGTTTTATAATGATTGAATCTTAATACACAACACTTATTAAATAGTCTGTGCTGAGATCAAATCCCGTTTTAAGCCTCACTATATTTAAAATGTCTCGATACGTATAGCCTCTCACATAATACATAGTTATGCATTCATCCAGTGTTGATAAAGATGTACAATGCGCAGGTCCACCGGAAGGCGATGGTGAAAACGCGATGGTACGATGGTGAAATTGCGATGGTACGATGGTGAAATCGCGATGGTACGATGGTGAAAGCGCGATGGCACGATGGTGAAAACACGATAGCGCGATGGTGCGATGGTACGATGGTGAAAACGCGATGGTACGATGGTGAAATCACGATGGTACGATGGTGAAAACGCGATGTAACATCGCGTTTTCACCATCGTACTATCGCACCATCGCGATTTCACCATCGTACCATCGTGATTTCACCATTGTATCATCGTGTTTTCACCATCGTACCATCGTGCCATCGCGTTTTCACCATCGTACCATCGTGCATCGCGGGTACAGAATAAATAAAATGTCACGATTGTCCAAACGTGTCCAAACGGAACACCGTAGATATACGTACAAAAGTAAAATATGGCGGTAGATTGAATGTATTATTATAGAATGTATTTACGTAGATAACTGACACTGATCCACTATTCTATACTCTTTTTCAGAGTATGGTACGATGGTGAAAACACGATGGTACGATGGTGAAATCACGATGGTACGATGGTGAAAACGCGATGTAACATCGTGTTTTCACCATCGTACTATCGCGCCATCGCGATTTCATCATCGTATCATCGTGATTTCACCGTCGTACCATCGTGTTTTCACCATCGTACCATCGTGCCATCGCGTTTTCACCATAGTACCATCGTGCATCGCGGGTACAGAATAAATAAAATGTCACGATTGTCCAAACGTGTCCAAACGGAACACCGTAGATATACGTACAAAAGTAAAATATGGCGGTAGATTGAATGTATTATTATAGAATGTATTTACGTAGATAACTGACACTGATCCACTATTCTATACTCTTTTTCAGAGTATTCATTTCAGCCAGGAACAGATTCATATTTTATGCGATTATAATTTGTTTTATTTTGACCCATATACATCATGCATTCTTGTATGAACTTTTGTGACTTTTCATTCCCCGTTTGTATAGTGAAACCCAACAAAATATAATCTAAATAAAGAGTAGGTAATCTGTAACTAAGTACCAGTGTC